TACCAAAAAGTCCATCTAGTCAAATTGTGAAACAAAATGAACCAAGTGAAAACTTTACATTTTCTTTAGAAAAAAATTACAAGAATTTTGTTTCCTAGCTATGAATCTTTAACTTTTTTTAGACACAAAGTTGGATTTATTTGTACAAGATACAAAATGTAAACATGGCAAAATAAATAGTTAAAACAAGTGATGCAGGATCCCATTTCATGCTCATGATCCCATTAAAGAATTATTTTTTAATCCATTCAGTTGCAAATTCAAGTGCAAAAGCATGATGATGAATATCTACTATTCAAGTAACAGAAATAATATTGATGATACAAATAAACTATTTTACAAGGTAGTGATTTTCCCAATTTTACAAAATTTACATTATATATCGACTTAATACACGATATACTGATAGTCCATTTAGGTCCATTTTAGTTCTCTGTGATCCACAGAGTGCTGTGTTTTGCATTCAGTTGGAATATAAATGACTACACCATGAGCCCAAGCTGTGACACTGGTTTGAGGTTATGTCACTTCCATGGCTACTGTTGTCTCTGCAATGCCATTTAGACCCAGTCGTTCTGGTTCATGGTTCTCTCTGCAATAAAAGAAATATTTCATAGTTACAGATAGAACACAAGGGTTTCATTATGCAAGTTTTAATAGTCTGACAGGTGCGATCTGTTTTTAGACAGCTGTTACCTGGATCAGGGAGAAGCCTTAAAACATACTCTAGGAACAGGTAACTTAAACCTAAATATTGGCATGTAAGAACTACATGAACTTTTACTCCACTGACAGTGCAGACCCTCTGCAAGATTATTGCATTTAACTGTGAATTACCATCCCAAATTATAGATAGGAGTACTAAAAAGTTTCCTGAAGGAGCAAACTCAAGATACACCATGATGACTCAATACCAGTTATTCTATCAGTGAGCAAAGCATTGTTCTGACATAAATTTCCTCCCCACACACTAAATTCTGCTAAATTCTGCTTTAGTACTAAGTGCACAAAATCTTAAATGTTTCTCCACATTATTATCGTTCTCTGTAGAGAACCTTAAAACTTATTTGGCTAAGGTGGTATTTTCCATGACATTTGCCGCCATGACTTGAAATACCCCTCTGACTCGGGGGAAATAAAAACTAAACGCATTAATGATGTACAAGTATGCTTTAAGGCACAACTGTTAATTTAAAAATACCTTTATCTTGATCTATGCAGCAACTAAATTATACCTTCAATTTTACATCTCAAAAAGCTCTTCTTAACCTCTCCAGAAACATTAAGAAATATTCAGGAAACCACATTCACTAATAATCTGATTTTCTCTTTTCTCATTCATAAACAAATGTGACATTTTGAAAAAACCCCTCATACAATCCAGCACAGACTGAAAACAAAGCCCCAGCATTGTAGTTTTCAGAAAAAACCTAGCCAACTGCAGGCTCCTGCCCCTCCTGTGAAACACCCTCTAAGCATTCTGAAATAACAGTGCTGCTGTTCAATGAGAATAAATATCTATCTATATACATAAGACGTAGGCTGGCACATACGTGGTTTAGTGTTTACTTAAATATATAACGCATATACCCACATGTATATATAAAGTAGGTACATGTCAGCTGCATCTTACAATATGGATACACAGTTACAAAGAGAACATATGGAGAGCTTAATAGATACTACCTGAAAGTGCTGCATGAGAAGGGACAAATGGAAACGTTTAAAAATGAAGCCATTAATAACGCAGTGAAAGTTTACCAAAACTACTAGTGCCTAAAATCAGTGCAAATTATTTGGATGTTTATCTGCAAAATTCTCTTGTGGTTTGTCACAGCTACAATGAAGATACCAGCAGGTGGACGTTTCTGAGATTGAAGCTATACTGAGAAATCTCTCAGAGGTGTAAACAATTCCTCTTGGTGCTGCACTGCAGAGACATCCTTGGAGACATTTACACAGCACAAATGTAACTTACAACTGCTCCAGTCTGCCAAACACTTACCGTGCTATACTGCTGATGGCACTGCTAGGAGTTACCTTTGGCACTCTGTCTATACTGGCAGCAACTGTGGCAAGTTTTAAGGCTGTTGGCGATGGTGCTGAAGTCCTTGTATTGATATGCACATTGACTGGAGAAACAACACTGACATTGTTGAGGTGCACTGCGTTTGTCAGGCAAGAATTGTTCATGGGAAGCGTTTGAGGGCTGCTTGTGCACAATGCTGGAATTAAGTGGTTTGTGGTGGTGTGGCCAACTGTCCTTACAAGCTGTACAGCTGAAATCCCTGGGCTGGATGTTAAAGCCATGTTGGTGGAGTACAACGTTCTAGAAGTTCCTGTTATGAAACAAATAGTGTTAATTACAAATATACCATTCCTTAGAGTCTAAGCCAAACATTAACCTCAAGGGTTATATGCACTGGAATTGTGCAAGAACCTGTTTTTGGAGATACTCAACATGTAAAACTTCAGAAATATTTCTAGTTAACACTATAAATATTATTTTTCACAAGAACATCAGCAAGTGAAAAAAGTCACTGTATTACAAAGAACCTTTGTATTGCTCAACTTTGTACGCCTCTTTTCAGGAATCAGAGAGGGGCAGCATGGCCCATAAAAGTAAGGTGAATGGGGAATACCTTAGTTAGGCAACCTCAGAGAACTGACAGCAAAACCAAATTCTCATGTTTTGAATCACCTCCTCACCTCCTACCTTGTCCTGCTGGCAATATGAAGAGGTTCAGGGGGGACCAGTCTCTCTCAAGTCAGCAAAAGTAGGGGTCTAAGACTAGGCAAACTAGACTCCTTTCAGATTATCCTGTAGTGCTCTGTTTGCACTCCTGAGGTGTGAGAAACCTCACGTTTCACAACATATATTCAAACCAGAGGTTCTCAAATTTCACCTTGCTATTCTAGCTAGTCACAGTTCTGATTTTCATTATAGGGAAAACTACATACATTTTCCCTAGATTCTCATTCCTGAGAAAGAAAAAAATCTTCTTTAGCTAACATTTCCTCTTTTACAAGTCTTCCTATCCCTAAACAGGAATAGCTACTTTGCATCACTGTAATTTACAGCTTTAGAACAGTAACAGAAGTCTACTTCCATTTGTAAAATGTAGATTTGTAGAAATGTATTTGTAAAATATTTGCAATGCTTTTCAACAATCATAAAGCTGTGCACCATATATCTGCATAGCACATTACTACATACCTCTTCTTACACCCCTCAAAGTACTATCCTCTCAGGTATGATCTTACACAATTATACATAGATGTCTTTTTCTTTCCTGGGAACTCTTCCAGTATATTGATTTAATTCAGTTGTGGATTTTTTCCCCTCTATTAATTTTGTGTTATCATTAACCCAGCCTGACAGAAGGTCTGTAAAACTAATTACACCATTAGCTGTTAAAACAACAAATTTCTCTAAAAGCCATTTATTTTTTATGGCAGTTAAATGCCAAATAACATTTGTGTCTCAGCAACATGGCTGTCGCAGCAGCATGAGTAGCATTACTGCCTTCTGGTAATGGAGGTTCAGAAAGAGGCGGGGGAGGCAGTGAACACCAACATCTACACTTCTGCCTGAACTTGGGAGGAATCCTAAATGCAATGAAACCTGAAACTTACAGTAATTTTGAGAGAGTTGCCAGTAGTAGTTGATTAGTATGTTTTGTCTGAATACACAAGTGAGATAATGACCAAATAAAGTAGCAACTTTTCTATTTCCTTCTTAAAGTACTTATGTTTTAAGCAATCGATTTTTTTTTAATTACACATTCATATGTTCTTTAAGATGGTATCACACTTTTGATAATAACAGATTATTAAAATATAAACTACGAAATAAAACAAACAATGCTCTTCCAATGTAAAAGAGTTTATTGCCACACTAACCTACCTGCTACTGCACAACAGCATTTAAAAGTTTCACAATTAATATAGTTGATTATTTGGTTTATTAAATAGTATTTTAGAAATCAGAAATAAGATCACTTGACACATTCTCATCTCACAATAGACCACGAGTTTTAAGAAATCATCACCTGAAGGCTGGACAACACCATTAATATTGTTGTGGCTGGTGTTTTGTTCCTTTGTTACCTCACTGCGACCAGGAGCAGGTGCACTAACCACTGCAGATGCAGCAAAGTGGGCACTGGCTGAATCAAGTGTTTTTGACATACAGTCAGAGGTGCTGGAGCTCTGTGGGAATTAAAAAAGTATTTCATTAAAATTATCCAAGAACAAAATTAAACACTGTTAGGATTGCTATAGTGCACAATTAGCAGCTAATAAATAAATAAATCTTCCAAATGTAATCTAGTGTGATCTTCTAACTGTAACCCCGTGGCAGGGGGTTAGAACCTTTAAGGTTCCTTCCAACGCAAACCAGTCTGTGATTCTGTAATTCACGGTAACATTGAATATTTTCATATCACAAGTCTGATGAAAAGTTGAAAATTAGTGTCCAAATGAGTGCTGAGTAAGTCCAGCCTGATTCAGCCAGTCAATAGCAAATGCAGCTCTTGGCATGACAGATCACTTTTGTAATGTGTTGCTCAACCTGGAGAAGGCTCTGAGGAGACCCCAGAGCTTCCAGGACCTAAATGGGTTGACAAGAAAGTTGGAGAGGGACTTTTTACAAGTGCCTGCAGAGGTAGGACAAGGGGGGGTATGGCTTTAAATTAAGACAGAGAAGATTTAGATTAGATTTATGGAAAAAGTTCTTCACTGTGAGGGTGGTGAGGCACTAGCACAGGCTGCCCAGGGAAGCTGTGGCTGCCCCATCCCTGGAAATGTTAAAGGCCAAGTTGGACAGGGCTTTGAGCAACATGGTCTGGTGGAAGGTGTCCCTGCCTGTGGCAGGGAGGTTGGAATTAGATGAATTTTAAGGTCCCTTTCAACCCAAACCATTCCAGGAGTCTGTGTTTGCCATGATTCCTCTAAGAAAATTACCAGGTCTTAAGTTTCCTTCTCTCTTCTGTCTCTAGGCAGCAAATACACTACAACTGCAAGTCTAAAGAATTTTCAATATTTATGTTACATTCATTCTCATGGAGTAACTTGCATCACAGCATAACTGCCACCACATTCTGGAAGTACACATCTCCTATTAGTCCAGTTTCTCTAAAAGAATGGTAAGTACCGGAAAGACACCCTGCAATGGCTGAATGTATCATTCTGCAATATGAATTTCTATTAACTATGAAAATGACTCTGCATAGACAAAGTGTCTTAAAAATCCAGAATTTATTCCTTTTGTTTAAATATTCTGGTATAGTGTCTTTACACTTACAAAAACTGTAATGAGCAACTGCCAATACAGAATCCCTAATTAATCAAAGTAGAAAACACTGAGAGGAAGGACAAACAGCACTGGCAATTAGATAGAGTATGCTCAAAATAAGCTTTGCTATTAATAGACAAGAGCAACAGCTTTTATATTTTCTTAGTAAGAAACTAATAGAAAACTAAGTTTGACAGAAAAAGATACCTTCTTCCCTTGCAAGGTACTTCAGAAAAAAAAATTGGATTCTTTCAGAAGACAGAAGTAGTAACACTGCCAGTGGGGAGGGGGCATGAATCCAACTAAATAAGCAAAACTCCATTTTTCCTCTCATAAGCTACCAATTTTTAGTACTCACTTAACGTCTATTTGTAACAGAATACATTACCTCATGAAGTAGCTTTAGTAAAAAAGTCTCTTTGGAGCACTTACACAAAGGAGGACTAAATTAGTGAAAATAATAGAAACTGTAGAAATAGCACTGTCTATTTCTACATTGACTCTGTGGACACCACTAACACATTAAAATATGAAGTCTCTTACTCAACTTTTAATAACACTGCCATGATATAACTTCAAAAAAAATTAATGTTTTGATGGTGAAATGTAAAATACTACCTCATTAAAAATAAAAAAGTGAAAGCAAGGTATTTTTACTAGCTACAATATAAGCTGCCTTCTGGACAAACTGGAAAAGCACCTTGACTCAAAGCCTTCTAACATTCATTCCAAAATTTACTGAGATGGTATATTTAGCTTGTAGGAGAGATGAAAAAGACAGCAAAAAGGAAAATATTAGCATGTGACAATATTCAACGTGCATTACCTGTGCTTTTGGATGTGTCTGTTGTGAGGAATGCTGAGATTGCTGTTTCTGCTGAAGCTGAGCAAGTTGTTGCCTCTGCATTTGAACTAATTGCTGTTGATGTGTCTGAAATTGTTCCTCTGTGATACCCCCTGTTACTACAGAAAAGAAAGTGAAGTCAGTGTTAAACAGGCCTGCACAAACCAAATATATCTAAAATGCGAGACTGCATCCATGTTGGGTAACAAGTGCTTAAAGATAGCACACAGTGTTAGTTAGATGCTTGCAAAGATCTTCAGATATGTAAAGAAAAGGTCAAGCTAATTTGTTTGTTGTGTTCTCTTAGTATTGAATCAATTTATAAGAAAAGAATTCATAGCTTTCATTGCTTTTAAGCAGTTTCTGTCTTTGGTGGTTTTCTCTCCATTTGCTTTAGGCAAAAACTTAAATTATTATCCTGGCTTTCAGAAAACAAGCATGTCCTAGAAACCTTAGCTGAGGAAGAAGTACACTGGGCTGAGCTGGGAATTTATTCCTGTACAACTCCCCTTCCTACAGTCCTATTATTGTCCTGTTCTCCAACATCAGAATGGGCTCTATAAAGGAACCATACACCTGGCATTGGGCAACACCTGCTTCAATGGCACAACCAAATTTATACATTTAAATAGTCTGTATACATTTCCATACCAACCCTCCTGAGAGAGCTACAAACTAATATACAATAACAAAGCTAACCTCCAGGTCTAAACTTTAGTAAATGTTTGGAAAAACCAAAGCTCTGTTTGGCAAATCCAGTTTGACCTTCCCATTTCACACGTTTTCCTCCTGAAGGAAATGCTTAAGTTTTACCTGAACAGGATTTTCTCTGCCTTTTTTTTCTTTTTTTTTTTTTAATTTATATGGAGTAAGAGTTTAAGAGTGACCTAATAAGCTTGTTTACTTACGAGAACCAGGTTAATGCAACCCCAGCAGTATCATACTTGCAACAAGTGAAAGGAATGGTTAAGTCAGAAAAGCTATTCTCAATATTCTCTCTTCAAAGAACTGAATACTTGATAAACTGTAAATATTGTCAAGTGTTTCATGATAAAAACCTGAGTTTTGTGCAGCTGATGCTAACCTAAGAACTAAGTTCCCCTAAAAGGAAGAGAACTCACTTTTCAAAGGTTCTCATTAACCACATTTCACCAGTTTATTCTGAATGATATTTTCCAAATACTGAGCTGTCATTCATCTCAAACACCTGGATTTTGCAGGAATATCATCTTATCAAGAGATATTGAGCTAACATTAAAATACAAAGTGTATTTTACAATACAGTATCTTTCAGGGTTCTCTTTTTCATTTACTAGTTGTAACACTTGTGGCTGTCCTGAGATTCCATACTGAATAAATACCAAAATTAAGATTATGACTGTTTAGAAACTAGTACTAAAACTTGTTCTCTACTTCTACATTATTAAAACAGGTTTCAGCAACATGAGGAGAGCACTTAAAAATCTGATGACTTTGTCATGGTTTAACCCCAGCTGGCTTGACTTACACTGTTACTATTATTAGATTCTAGGGATACTGTCATTTCCAGAATGTTCTAAAATCAAGCTTATTTCACATTTAGCTTTACTTTGTTGTCCTTAAAGATTCTTACCTATTGCTACAAAGCATTTAACTCAAAATTCAGTCAGATAAAACTGCTAAGTTCCCTTAAAACAGTCTCTCAAAACGTGTTGCGTTACTAAAGGCAACAGAGCCAAGAACAGCATTATGGAACATTACATATATACGCCTATTTTTAAGTTCTGAGGTAACAAATTCCAGAATATGTCTTTTGTTTTATAAAAAGAAGTATGTTTTAGAAAAAGCTTATACGGCACAAAGCAATACCTAAATTGCATTTAGCCGTAAGTAACTATAGTAACTATTATTTCTCTGCAATAGAATCATAGAATTGTACAGGGGTATTCATCTAGATTCAAAGCTGCATTCTTCTGTGGACTGTAAAGACAACATAAAAAGCAGGCTCTACGTCAGAGGATCATCCATCAAATTTAGCCTATGTATCAATTCTGTGTTTTCAATCTCCCTTCTTTCTCCATTTGACACAGACCACAAACTCATGAAACACCATTAGAAGGTACAGGGAAGATTACTGTAGTAATGTAATTATCTCTTACTCTGCTTGTACATGTTTAAATTCCACTCAGTTAGCTACCTATCACCAGGTAGTGGTCAGGCTGAACTCACCTGTCAGCCTTGTTAAACAGCAGATGTTCATTAGCACATTTAGTATCATCTGCTTCTGCCAAATCAAACAACTGAAGGGTCCCTACTGGAAAAAGGAACAGACAGCTTCTACTATGTCCCACAGTAGCCTTGTAAGGTCACAGTTAAGTGCAAGTGTTCTATACTTATTACAAAAGGTTCTATTCACCAGAATTTTAGCTTCTACTGCTCAGTATCAGGATTTTCTGTTTTACTTAGCCTGACTTAACTGAAATACTACAATAGGATAAAAAAACAAAACAAAACAAAAAAGCCCAACAAAAAAACCCACCACACAAAGAAAAAACCTCACAAAAAAAAAAAACAAACCAAAACCAAAATACCCCAAAAAAACCCAAAACAAAACCAAAAAAAAACACCAAATCAAAACTGAACACCACTGTGAAATCAAGTCTTGCAGGCTCCTTTCCTTGACAGCTTTGGTTTGAAATATTATGTCACTTATCTTAGAATCTGAAGGCTTTAATCAGAGATCATCTTTCAGGCTGCCCCAAAAGGGGTATTTTCATTAATTACTTCTACATGATATACAATTCTGGAAAAAATAGCCTCCAAAAGGCAGAAGCCTGTTCCATAAGCAAAAACTGCCATCATCTGCAGTTGTCTTTTGTAGCTAGGGACATGGTAACTGAACAGGTAATTATCTGAGCAGGTCATTGGAACTGGCAGCTGAAGTGGACTGAAAGTCAAATGCAACATACTGACTAGACTGAAAACTGCTGAAGATTTTGTGTAAAGCCTACTTCTTACTTCAGACCCAAAAATCAGCTGAGTTGCACTACAGGAATTCAGCAGGCAGGTTAAGTGTTACTCAGCTGTCATAAATAGTACCTTCTACAAATTCCTGGTATCCTACTTCCTCAATCTCTCCTGAGGATCAATTGTATCAGCTCATCTCATCTTAGATTAAACAGAATTTACCTGGAGAGATCTCTGGCAAGGAGATAAGTTTACTTTTCCAGATAGAGTGTGTAAGATTACAAAAAGTTTACACAACTGATCAGAGGGATTCAACTGTTTCAGTGACCTTGTCTCTTAAATGTGCCTCAAATTCAGTTTTCCCACTTGCAGCTCTTATAACATGAGCAAGAGTGTAATTCAGCTTGAAACAGTGGTTCTTTATTCATGCACTCATTAGGCACTTTCAAGAAAAGACTAGTCACACATCTTTAAAATTAGTCTCTGTTTGTACAATGTCCAGCATTTGAAGAAATACCAGAGAAAGAGCTGCTTTTTAATAGAAGCGAAAAATACAGATCACAGGTAAGTTTAAATATTCTAGTGCACCAAAACCCAAAGCAAGCAACTCCAAGACTTCTCTGAACTAAAAGAAAAAACAATCAGCATCACTACTGTCATTATTTCCTGTAGAGGCAGCTTTATGCTATAAAGTCAACTGATACCAACAATCACCTTGCAAACAGAATTACATTAATAAATGCAGTGATAGTACCTGTGGCTCAATTTAATGTACAACCAGCCTTGGACCAGCCCTTTTAATGTTTACTCAATATTTACTAACAAGAAAATCTAACAGCAGTGGCTCTTGCTGTCTCAGTTATTTGGTGAAGAAGTCTGCTGTCTACTGCACCTCATCCTTTAGCAGAATTACAGGATCTGTTTTATTTGAGTTTGTAGAGAAAAAGATCTTCCATAACCATTTATTTCCCTGTGTAACATACTTCAACTACTGAGTTATCTCTGTTCTCATCTGAATGTATTCTTCAGATGATTTCTAGAATGAGGTAACGGAAGTTAAT